CATTTCAAGAAAGGTCACTTCAGGCCTTGCTATTCTCAGACGACTCCGGGATACAGTCGAATTCAATACCTTAATAACAATATACCAATCCATAATTCAACCTTATTTCGATTATTGTGCTCAAGTGTGGGGTTGCTTAGGGAAAACATTAGCAGCTAAAGTCCAAAAATTACAAAACAGAGCGTTTCGAATAACCACTCGTGAGAATTATACGACACGATCGGCTGATATATTAAACAAGCTAAAAGTTCCGAACCTCGAAAAAAGAAGAATGCAACAACTTTCAATTCTCATGTACAAGGTGAAAAACAAATTGGTCCCCGATTACTTGTGTGATATGTTCACAAATGTTGGTGATGTACACGACCATAACACAAGACAGTCGGGAGCCGATTTGGCATTGCCTAAGCCAAAAACAAATAGTATGAAAAATGCATTCTCCTACAGAGGTGCGGAAGTCTGGAACTGCCTTCCTGCATCGGTAAAAGCATCAACAACTATTGCTAATTTTAAATCTAACTTGAAGCATGCAAATTAACATCAAGTGATCCTGCCATTGTTTCCATCTACCTAAAATAATTTTCTTGTAATTATTTCTTATTTCTGTTTGTGTGAGCACGGCCAGTTGGAAGATCACCTTTTTTTCTTTTTATATCTTGTACATAATTAATTTTAGTATAGGTGAAATTGTACCGTGTTGAAATATAGTTCATAATAATAATAATAATAATAATAATAATAATAATAATAACCACGAGGACGACGACCACGAGGACGACAACAATATTAGCAGCGATTGGGGACCCAGTTCCAGGTCCAAAAACCTGGAACCGGATAATTATTATCATACTCCGCGAAATCCTTACTGGGATCGACTTGGTGTAAGACGTCACCGAATGGTTCACATGGGGAGCATGCCCGAAAAATGTATAATTCCCACCGTGGCCAGGCATATTTTTCAAGCTTGTCCTGTGTGGATATACATTCAGAGTAACATCACAAACATCATATTCACCTGAGTACACAACACCAACACAGAAAAAATCATAATACAGTCCAACCTCTATTAAGCGGCCCTCCATTGAGCGGCCACCCTCTATTAAGGTTACAGAACACCTTTGAGTGTTAATTTTGCCTAAAATTTTTTTATTGGTTTCAATGAAAGCATTAGACTAGTTCTACTGCCTGACCAAGTTTGAACGAAAAATGTTGAAAACTCGCAGAGTTATTTAATAAAATACATTTCGCTGCAATAAGAAAAACATTGAAAATGTAATATTCAAATTCAATTTTCTCACGAAAAATTTTACGGTAATTACTGATTTTCAAACGAGTTGTGCTCCTGCGGGTTTTAACCAATTTTTCTCAAATTTTCACAGGACATAGCTAAATACGTCAGTTTCAAAATTGTGTTCGGCTTTTTTTTAATTTTGGATATTTTAAAAATAAAGAGCAATTCACTCAAACAATTCAGAAATATATTGCAGTCGTCAAAGAAATCGCCATATCAGCGGAATGACGAAATAAACAAAAATTTCCGAACACAATTTTTTAGAACAACTATTTTACTGTATAAAAATGATATTTTCATAAATATAACTTAAAACCAGCAGGAGCACAACTCAAAAGCGTAAAGGTACCGCGATTTAAGATTTTCCTGAATAATTCTTACATTATTTTATTGTTTGTTAATTTTACAACTTTACCATATTTTGCATGCACTGGAGAACATTTGGTGAAAATTTGATGAAAATCGGACTGATATTGAGCGCGCAGTAGCGATTTTCCGCAAAACGCCAAAAAGGGTGTCCTGTAACCTTAAACGGCCGCATATCGAAGTCCCGGAATTTTTGTAATACAAATGGTTTGCTTTCAAGACCCTGTGATTATATACATAATCTAACTGCATGTATACTTAAATACTAAGGAATAAACTTACAATCCTCACATAGACTTAACTTCATGTGATGGACAGCCTTTTCTTGGAACCAATTATCATATATTCGCGATTTTACTATTGTTCAGAGTTAATTTGTTTGCGGACAGCCAATCGTGGTCGTCGTCCTCCTCGTGGTCGTCGTCCTCCTCGTGGTCGTCGTCCTCCTCGTGGTCGTCGTCCTCCTCGTGGTCGTCGTCCTCGTCGTCGTCGTCCTCGTCGTCGTCGTCCTCCTCGTCGTCGTCGTCCTCGTGGTCGTCCTCCTCCTCGTGGTCGTCGTCCTCCTCGTGGTCGTCGTCCTCCTCGTGGTGGTCGTCCTCCTCGTGGTCGTCCTCCTCCTCGTCGTCGTCCTCCTCGTGGTCGTCGTCCTCCTCGTGGTCGTCGTCCTCCTCGTGGTCGTCGTCCTCCTCGTCGTCGTCCTCCTCGTGGTCGTCGTCCTCGTGGTCGTCCGAAAGATCCATCACTTTTGTAATAAAATATGTTGTCAGACGTCCATGTTTATAAACAGTCGCATGGCTACCATCGGAAAATATTGTGATGTTCCGGTATATTCCGGGAAAATGTCGTGATATTCCGTGATATTCCGCCATATTCCGTGATATTCCGGGTTTTCACAACGCCCGAATAATATCTAACTTTTCTGGTTCGCTTTGTAAATCAGTAAATGAATATATAAACTAGAGTACGTTTCAATTAAAAAAGTTCGAAAGATGCAAAATTTGGGCAATGTTTATATCTGTGGGTCCCCCTTTGTTATGAGCAGAACTGATGGTCTTTTACAGTATGTGGAATACCATGGAGCTATTTCATACATTATGCGAATCAAAATAAATCTTATCATTTGTCAAATCAACTTTGCACTATCCTTGGGATCTCTGAGTTTGAAAAGTCGTTTTGAGGACTTTCGCGTCAGTGCGGGATGGCGTAAGGATACAGCATGCGTTTCGCTTGACGAATCTTGTACTCGCACTCGTAGTCGCTGCTAAAGCTCCCTAAAGGCAGTTTTCCAGTCCTCGCACGAAGCTCCTCGCTGCGAGTGCTTGCATCTAATTAAAATTAACTGTTTAGCATTGTGATTGGATGAAAGTGCTCATGCATCACTCGCAGCGAGCTGCGAGGAGCTTCGTGCGAGGACTGGAAATCCGCCTTTATGTTATAATCCACACTGGACAGTGATAGGTTGGCAATCGTCAGGTTTCATTTCCGACCTGAATTCTGAGGCCTGAGTCAATAAATGTGTTTTTTTTTTAATTCATAGAACATCCCTTACGTATTTGTGCGTTCCAAGCAAGCATTGGGTCGGGCATGTGGGGTGTCACGACCAGTTATTGCAGCCGCAGTCACAGTGAACGAGGGTTCGCAACTCAAACCGCAGATTCAGACATTACAGAATGCTATAGAAAAACTTCTTATTTAATTAAGTTTGTAAATTTTTCTTCGTCATTTAGTTGTATAATAAACTAATATTGTGTATTTGGATTGTTTAAATGTGTTGTTGTCACGGATTCCTGTTGTTGGTGCTGGTAAACTGAATGCGTAATTACCTCCTGGGGCCGGTTAACCCCGGAACTTTAAAAAACTTTTCATTTTTTTGCCAAACCCCGGAACTTTCAAAAAAATTTTCATTTTTGCCAACCCCGGAACTTTCAAAAAATTTTCATTTTTTACCGACCCGGGAACTTTCAAAAAATTTTCAATTTTTGCCAACCCCGGAACTTTCAAAAAATTTTCATTCTTTTGCCAAACCCCGGAAGTTTCAAAAAATTTTCATTTTTTGCCAACCCCGGAACTTTCCTGTTGCGTCTCCAGAGAAACGTCCATATGATCGACGTTTCTCATTGACAAAATCGATATGCGAGGCTTCCCTAACCACACAAATTTTGCTGTTGCCTTTGGATATATCTGTGAAAT